GAGCCCTGCGTCGGGCTCTGTGCTGACAGCTCAGAGCCCAGAGCCTGCTTCGGATTCTGTGTCTCCCTTTCTCTCTGTTCCTCCCCTACTTGCACTCTCTCTCTTTCTCTCTCTCAAAAATAAACAAAGATTAAAAAAATTTTAACATGGAAAAAATTAAAAAAAAAAAAAAAGAACCGTAGACAAAGGAGAAATGGAGCTAGAAAGAAAAATCTGAGCTATTTACATGACACCAAATCCAATAGGCTTCCAGTATGACCATCCCCAGTTCACATTAAGGTAACTGAACACAAAAGTATGGATGAAGCAGTGAATCGTTAGCAAAACATAACATGTCCTTCCTTTACAATTACGTTAATGAATTTAAAACAGACTGTGAGGCCTCAGTCTTCTGTGGTGGGTGTTCTTAAACTGGAGTCCAAGAAACTCTAGAATTAAATACAAAATTGTGTTTGTGTGGCCTATGTCCGTTCTTCTAGGGAGAGAGGTCTCTATTTTTCCAACAGCTTCTCAAAGGGTTCAAGGCACTAAACATCAGAAAGGTCAGGAGCCACAGGATCCACGGCTTCCGACAGAGACGTATGTCTTTCTGAGCAGCTATGACTGATTGTGGCCACACAATTAAAACTCATGGATCAGGAGAGTCTCACTGAGTCAGTCGATAGAACATGTGACTCTATGTCTCAGGATTGTGAGTTCAAGCCCCACACTGGGCATGGAGCCTACTTAAAAAAAAAAAAAATGTATGGATCAGGTCAGACAGGCACGGTGATAATGATGTGTGCGAGAGCACAGGATCGAGGTGGAGCGCACAGTGCTCCAGGGCTTGCGGCGCAGGGATGATTTGAAGGAGAAGACCCTTCCCCTGTACAAAAGGACCTCTGCTATCATCCACTGCCATAATCTGTCTGTTTTGAGATGTGGGACGTTCTGTGAGATGTCATTTGAAGAGAAAAGCTTCTGCAGTTAAACAGTGGCCAGGAAAATACTGGTGTAGGATCTTATAGGATATCAGCAGTTTCCGGATAAAGGTTCACAATCTCTTGCTGACATACGGTACCGAACACAGATTTCATAAAGATAGCGTGGCCCATTTGGCACTCACAAGACCAAAACCAGATTACTGGTTAAGTGGCACTCCTCCATGATTCTCCAGGTACTTCGTTCATAGAGAGGTGAATAATGCAGGGTATCCCAAGACTGGGACCAGGGAAGATGAAATGGGTAAGAAAAAGGAAGAATTTTCTTAAGAAGGTTTGCCACTGGATTAAAGTTGTTAGCATCAGACCAAGTGACACGTGAACGCATGGCCATTGTTTGGATGGATGTTTGCAACCACATGAACGTGTGTGGATAGTACAGGCTGTGTCTATTATCAGTTTACTGTCTTCCCAACCTCGGATCATTCTCTGGGGCGCAAAAAAACCACAAAAAAGTCACGTACTGTACCTTCTCCAACAGGAAGTGGATCTGGTCCCGTTTTTTCAAAGTTAATAACTACACCACTCTGAATTTTCTGAACTAGAGATTCTAAACACTGATTCAACATTCTTTGTGTTCTAACACAGTAGGAGCGACCTATACCAGAAGGAAAAGCAAATAGTGTCAGTTTGAGCAAATAAAATACTACTTAACAATGTAAGCAACTGAAATCGTAGAGTATATCTTGAACCAATCATAACTATGTTGGCTGCAAACATCACACTCAGGATGAGCTTAAGCAGGAGAGCTGAAAGATTCTGAAGGAAAACAAGACAAGACAGGATACGGCATTTAAGCAAAACCATACTCTGCTGCTCTGAATTCTTCCTCTAGAAATATGAAATATTGCCAATACCTCCTGTGACTTCACACATCTGTGTGATGGCAGACTCATCAGTTGGTACACTCCCTAGGTGCTCTGGTTCCGTAGAAGCCAGTCCAGGCAAACGCAACACCAGGGCAAATAACCTTTGATCCCAACGAAAAGGTTCTTTGGTTAGTTCACTTCCAGGCAGAGGAGAATTCAAAGGAAGATGAAGCTGATAAGGCAAAAGTTGAAAAGTTTCATCATAACAACCCATACAAAACTGAAGAGAGAGTCAAAAGGGTCATTTTTCTTTCATGTACTCGGTAATCTTTCAAGGATTGTGAAGACGGAAGGTCTGATCAAACTTATTCTTAACTGGAAACGTATGCCTCCCACAGAAATAGCTGCATGTTCTCCGCCATGTAAACGAAATTTACAAAAAAACATGAAATCTCACCTCTTCCTGAACACCAGCAGTACTTGTTAACTTGTTTCCATCTGTGATGGTAATTAAAATAGATGGTTCTAAAAAAAATGGATTTCTCCCCTAAAATACATTTAAAAAGTATTAGAGCCATGTAAAGTAATAAAATGGTATTTAAACTTTTACATCTGCCTGGCCAGTGATCTCTCAAGTGTGTGATAAAATTTGCCTGGATAAACAAGAAGGAAAAGATTAGGGATTGAAACGGGTGGGAAATCCAAGTAACAATCCCTGCAGAGGTAACATTCAGAATGGACTGAGGGATTCTTATCAGTCGGGAACTCCCCCAACTCGCATATCCAAAAACTCCTCTCCCTCTGCGGTCTAAGTAATCATAAAAGAAAGAGACTGGCAAATTCCTGGCACAGGTAGGGGGACATTAGTGACTCATGCTCTGCAATCTGGACTCTACTCTGGTTACTGTGAGCAGAGTTTCTAGGGCAGGAAAGGACACCACTATTTCTTCATCCATTTATCCATCAATGGACACTTCTAGAACTTTTTCAATTGAATTGGGAGAGGCGAGAGGGAGCTAAGGACACTGAAAATTTCTCTTCAAATACCTTGTTCCAACACTTGTCAGCAATTTATTCATCCCATTCTCAGACACCTGATGACCTGAGGGGGAGGCAATTGGCACTACACATTTTATGATCAAGCCACATACAAGACCCCCCAAAAGGGGGACATTTTTTTAAAGTATGTGTTTAAAAGATATGGACTTCCTTTGGGCAGTTGTGAAAAGTAGCAGAAAACTTGGTAACCACGCCCGGTTTTAAATTCTTACCCCAAGTCACCAAAATAAATTAGCTGTACTCACTCAAAAGTTTTTTTACCTGTCCATAATTGTCTATTCCAGATATTAATCTATTGAGATTTAACAAATCAAATGAGGATCTTAGAGCCTGACCAAGAGTAGTCAGTCCAGAAGCCTGAAGATTTTTTAGTTCACTCATGAATGTTGCGTGATTTTCCTTCCAACCAGCCTGAAAACCAAACATTTACAAAGAAATTCCCGATTACACAATGAACAATATATAAAGTGCAAACAACCACTAAACAGCAAGTATCCAACCTCTAACAGATTCACTAGTCCCTCGATCTAATTCTAGTCTAGATCTTGGCTGATCGGAAAGATCTGTCCGCGTTAACGACCAAGAGCAAAGAGGCAAACGGTGCATTCGTCCATTATGGCTGGAAGGCTCTGGCTCAAGAAGTCCAATCTTCTCTTCAGGTCCAATCAAACCTACCCAAACACCTCAGTATTTACCTTAGTTTGACACTGATGATGAGCATGAAGAAAGGAGGAGAGGAGGGGCTATTTTTAAGTGCGCTGTCCTTGATAGAGACAATTCGCTACTGAGGGGCTGAACTGCATGAACTTTTCTAACCAAGGTTCTTCCCCCCAAACAATATGTTCACTTTAAGTAAGAGTCAAGGGGGAATTCTAGGAATAGAGCCACCACTATTCGGAGACAACCTTTCTGGCATCTTCAAACATTCAGAAAGCCCCACGTCTAGAAAAAGGGGAGAAAGAAAAGAAATTTAAAAAGTTTTGGCAAAGAAGCAGCCCCCAGGCACTCCCAGCAGCTATGAGCAGCAGCAAAGAACCAAAGACCCCAGGCCAGCAGCCAACATGCTGTGATCGAATGGTTTGGAGACCAGGAGGAAAAGATCACGTTGACTGGGGGCCAGTAATGGCTATAAAAACAAAGCAGCACCAAATGCAAAGAAGAGAAACCAAAAGAAGAACTGGCAGTTGACAGCAGGTCACAGAGGAGAAGGCCAGCAAAGGAGACAGCAAACAGCACAGCTTGGCAACTGGGTGGGACAAACAGCCACCTTAGTGTTGGGGACACTGAGGGCAGCAGTGTGATAGGTTGAATGCTGAAGTCATGCCAACCAGGCCGGTACAGCTGGAGGTGGAAGGCGAGAGCAAATAATAAGAGATCAACCAAATCATTTCAATTTCATGTCTGGCCGAAGGCACACTGGCCATTATCCATGCAACTACAGCAAACGTTCTCTCTTCTAGTTTCATAGTCTCCAGAAGCAGTTTGGGTCAGAATGACTGAGATATCTGCATGACCCTGAGCGAGCCTGTTGGCCCCAGGGACCGAGATGGTATTCTCTGGAATTGGAGAGGATTAGGCAAGCAAGGGACACTGTGCGAGGCTGTGCGTAATATAAGCAGCGGAAGGAGTCATTCACATTGGAATCCGACAGAATGGCGCCCCCTTCGGCTGAACCGTCCAGAACCCGCATAACCATACAGGGTGAAGGTCCTGGTTAATATCCATTCCAGTCCAATAGTCTGAAATTCTGTGAAATTAAAGATGTGCTTAGCCGTTGGTTTTGTTTTTTTTTTTAATATTCCTGACATATCCTACAGATCGAAGGGTCTAAAGGTAAAACCTTTCCACGTGTCCCTTTGGCCAGATTGTATATATGACTTATAGTACCTAGGGAAAGCAGAGCATGAGAATTCCTTGTGGCCTAAGGGAAATCTTAGGCCACAAGCAATTATGGCCTTTTCACTAAAAGCGTAGTTACAAAGAAAGCTTGTGTGGAAATTGTCCTCCTCAAATACCTAGAACTATCAGCACGTTGCAAATCACACTGAATTAAAAAATGAGCTTTCTTCTTTGTGGTGGAAGAGAAAGGTATGCATTTGGGAAGGATACTAGCAATTCTTTCCTTTCTTCAACAAATTTGCACGGGCCAACTCTGCCGTACTGGACAGAACACTACACGCTGGAGATCTAGAAAGGGATCAGCCCTTGAGGAGTTCCTGTCACAGAGGCACGAGAAATGTATTTATGGGCACTAAAAGGACAAGTGACCAGAAGGTTAGGGAAGGCTCCTCACGGAAGATGAAGGCTCCTCACTGATGGCAGGCGTGGAGGGGCAGGCCAAGGAAGAGACCGAGAGTCCACGGAAGGATAGGGCAGGAGGCAAGGCTGATAAGTGGGGTTCTGGCTGTATAATGCTTTGTAGTTTGGATTTTATCTGTTGGCTCTGGGAATAACTTGAGGTTTTTAATCAGGGCAGCGGCTTGATCAGATCTGTGTTTTAGCAAGATCGTTCTGCTGGGGAGTTGGAGAACCAACTGGGGGGTGGAGGGGAGGCTGAAGCTCGAGGCAGGGAAACTGGTTTGGAAACTGTTGCCATAGCTTATGGGAAGAGCAGAGGTGGGGAGAAGGGGCTGCCGACGAAACAAGAATTTCAGAGGCGGCGTCAGAAGGATTTGGGAGCTGATCAGAAGGGATGGGCGAAGGACCCAGGTCATCCATTAGGTCGAGCTTTGTGGCCTGGGCAAACCTGAGAATGGTGGGCCCTTCCCTCACAATCCGCTTTATAAAGTTGACTGCTTTCTCGGAGTTACTTCACGTAGCAATCTTACTTCCACATTGTAAATTCCGCATTATACCCACAGCGAGCACTGAACTCCTGGGAGCCGCAAAGCAGTCCGCAGCATGACTAAAGAAAAATGAGCAGACAGCTTGGTTTGGTAAAGGGCTGGGGTAAGATGTGGGTACCACTTAGGCAAGCACCCTGTAACTCCTCCATATTGAAAATAACGTGTCCCGATTGTTCAGAGTCTTGCTAATTAATCTGTCGGAATAATTGCTCTTTCGATTTCTCTTTAGCCTATGGATTGGAAGGAAGCATTTTACAAATCATTCCTGCACTTGAATCGCTGGCATTCTGTTATCAGGTCAATCCCAATTCTTTGCAATGAACTGAACAGCACAAGAACTAAAAGCCCCTAAACGCATTCCTCACCATGCTGAAGGGGAAAGAGCCTATGGATTATTAATCTCACTATCTTGAGAACTTCATTAATGTGACAAATTTCTTCCCAAAAGATAATCATGAAGAGCTAGTGGCAGAAAGTCTGTGTTTCTATTTCTCGCTCATTGTTTGGAGTTGATTTTTTTTTTTTTTATAGAAACGAATTCAGGACAGCCCGTTTCCTAATACAGTCTTCTTAACACAGTCTTTTCTTTCTTTTTTTTTTTTTTTTTAATTTTTTTTTTCAACGTTTATTTATTTTTGGGACAGAGAGAGACAGGGCATGAACGGGGAAGGGGCAGAGAGAGAGGGAGACACAGAATCGGAAACAGGCTCCAGGCTCTGAGCCATCAGCCCAGAGCCTGACGCGGGGCTCGAACTCACGGACCGCGAGATCGTGACCTGGCTGAAGTCGGACGCTTAACCGACTGCGCCACCCAGGCGCCCCAACAGTCTTTTCTTTCAAATTACTCCAAAGGTTCGCTACTCTCAGGTCAGTAAAATCTTGACTCACGATAATGAGTTCCAGACATTCTTATGGAAGCTTTAGAGCTTACCAAGTACTTTCACATTTCACATTTGGTTAGGACAACCCTATAACATAGGCATGGTATTACCGTCCCTCTTTTGTTTGCCGACACCAGGAAGAAGTAAGACTTAAGTCGGTCTTGTTTGTGGGGGTGATAGTGGCAGGATTGGGGATCGAGCCTCGCATCGGCTCCACACTGAGAGCAGAGCCTGTTTGGGATTCTCTCTCTCTCTCCCTCTGCCCCTTCCCTGCCCTCTAAAAAAAAAAAAAACAAAAACAAAACCCCCAAAACACGGCTAGTCTGACTTGAGATGTGAGGTAAGTGTAAAATCCATGCGGCGTTTGGAGGACTTAGAAGAAAAATAAGAATGACACTATCTCAGTATTTACTTTTATATTGGTTATGTGCCAAAGTGACAGTGTTTTAAATTTTCGCAGTTCAATAAAATGTATTACTAAAAGTTCCACCTGTTTCTTTTTACTTCTTAACGTGGCTACTAGACGAGGTTACAATTTGTGTATGGCTGGCATTATATGTCTGTTGGATAGAGATGTGCTAGAAGGACCTGGAGGTCAGGCAAGGGAGCTCGGCCTGGCTTCGGCAGACAATAGACTCATTACAGATTCCAGGGGAGGGGGAAACAGGATCAAAGCAGTGTCTCAGGAAGGTCGGTCTGGCAGTGACACATAGGACAGATTGGGGAAGGAAGGCAGGCTACAGATTTCTGTCCATAGCCAGGAAAAAGAAGCTAGGAGCCTTGACTAGTAATCCCAGCCTGAGGGAATCAGGACCTGAGTTAGCCTGGGAATGAAGAAGAAGAAGGCAGAAACATTTTAAACCAACAAGATAGGACTTGGTGACAGACTGACCATGTGCGTGAAGGAGAGAGCGCAAAGATGGTTACAAAACTTCTAGCCCGGGAGACCAGAGGGACAGAGGTTTGGGATGAAGGGGCGACCTGAGATGAGTGAACTCCTGAACTAAGGGTTTACTGTCTTAGGTCAAGTTGTAAAAGTCTCCCTGGAGTAAAGTCACAACGATGATGAAGACGGTAATGGTGGTCAGTAATAATCATAGGTAATGTGCATCTGTGCTTATGTGTCAGGACCTCACTTAGGCTCAGCATACCATTCTATCTGTAGCCTCATCTGGGCACCTTCACCACCCCACGAAGTAGGTGCTGTTATTACTTCCATTTTATAGATGAGCACACTGAGGCTCAGAGAGGATAAGCAACTTGTCCAGGGCGAACAACTAGGAAATGACACGGCTGGGATCTGAACGCAGGTAGCCTAATTCTAGAGCCCACCAATTTAAACCACTATACTCGAGAATCTTCTAGGTAGTCCACATCCTCACCTTGTAGACAAGTCTTGTTATAGCTCCAAAGTCATACACTTAATGGAACTTCCAAATTTCCTTTCAGTGAAACTTCCTTTCCCTCATGTCTAAATGCAGACCAGTTGCGTGTGGGGAGCAGTGACCTAGGACTTGGAAGACCCTGGTCCATTCGTGGCTATAGCCAACTAGCAAAGCAACTGGTCCAGAGTAAGTCGTTTATCCCTTACTGGGGCTGTTGTCTCATCTAAGCAACGAAAAGGTTGAAAAACCAACTGGAAGGTCCCTTTGGGTTTTTGTATCTTGTAATTCCATACCTTTAT